TTTTTGTAAATAACGGATGAACTTAAAGTTAGTTATATACTATTATATTTTGTTATAGTTACTTTATATAATATATTGCTCTGATATCAAACTAATATATATATAGTTGTAGACTTGTAGATTTAAAAGTTTAAGATATGCTAACATTTTGTATAAAAATATGCATAGTTTATAAATTTTAATATTTTTAAACGGTGAATGATAGTTTATTTATTTAAATGCAAGCATTATTGAGATAAACTAAATTAATTTAGAAATATTATATAACTTTGTTTTATTTAATTCAATAATATTCCTATTTTACTATAACATATACTATAGCTATGGAATTTATAAAAATAGAACATAATATAATTTTGTTTCTGTTTTATAATAAAATTTATATTAGTATTAGAGAATAATATTATTATAGTAATACGAAATTAGTCATTGTATTATTTTATAAAATATTTAAAAAATTAATAAGATTTTGTTAGATTTAAGTACTAACAAATTTGAAAGTGTCCAAATTTTAAAATACATTTTCAAACAGTAGATAAAATTTAAGACCCTAAATTAATAGATTAGATATATAAAATTTTGTATCGTAGTTCGCCCTAGTTTCTATACACTCCCTGACACGCGTTACGAGGCGCCGTATAAGTTTTCTTGGTTCTGACACCGGCGGCTGCTTAGCTCGCCGGCGTTGCCGTGTCTCTTCTCTTCCGGTTCCCACCATCGTCGACTCGTATCTCACCATGTCTCTGTCTCGTCTCGCCGTACGTTATCCCTTTGAATCTCATCGTTTCTTTTTCATTGTTACCTCTCTAGCTCTCCTCTTTACAGCCACCCATCCCACACCTCTCGTCGTCTCCAACTCTCCACCTCTTCTTGTTGCCGCCGCTTCGCACGCTCCCCTCATCGTCACCAACTCTCTTGCCACTCTCCTCGTCGCCGTTTCTCTGCAAAGCTCCGGATCTACCAAGCTTGCTGGTGGGCTCCGAGTCTTACCGCCTTCATCTCGTGTTGCCCTCTGCTCAGCCGTTGACAACTACTCCGATGAGATTGGGATCCGAGTCACCTCTCCTACACCTCCGCCTCCTTCGTTTGGGTAAACGAGTCAACACCGGACCAAGATCTATCTCTCCGCTGCGTCGTATCACATTTACAACAACACAGAGCTCTGTACAAAATCATATTCTCCGCTTGTTTGCCTCTTTTTAACTGGCCGTCGCCTCTCCACCGTCAACTCAGTCTCCTCTCCGCGAGCCACCACCAACCTCCGTCGGTTCCCTACAGATCTGAATCTCACGCAAGCTTGGAGTTGGTTGGGCTTGGCCCACTTTTGGATTCAAAAAAAGTCCATCACCTCATCAGTTCTTTAATACAATAGGGCCCAAACAACATGATTCACCTAGTCATTGTATTTATGGTGTACACCTACTCTTCCGTCTCTTCCGTAACCTAAACTTAGCTTCTCCCGACTCTGTCAACTACTATCTTTTAGAGCTTATACCATCGACGACTCTTTATGTAGTCCTACTCCGGCAACCTCTCTGTGTTTTACTACAATGTCGGAAGATCGAAGCATCTCCAGTGACAGTTTCCAACTGTTCTCAAAACCCATTAATTGAGTTCTTCAACGTCGATTTCGACTTCTTTGCGTTCCTTCTTTGCGTTCCTTCAAATGCAAGTTCAAGGATTACAAGTGAAACTTCTCTACTGATCTCTTCTCTCCTTAACTATTTCTATCCTTTGTCATATTTTAATTTCTATCGTCGAATTTCTCTTCAATTGTAATCATTTTAGCCCATTGGGCTTTTAGTTCTTTAATATAATCATTGTTCAAAAAAAAAAGATACAAAATTTTCAAATTTTTCGGATATTCGATTGGATCTTTGGTAAGACCCAATCCGATCCAAACCAAGGCAATTCCGATTTCGTAACCAGCTCGAAACAAGAAAAGATTTTCTTAGTCTAAACAAATATTTTAGGTTTGTGTTGAGGCATTAAAATCAAATGATGGAAGTGTTGCAAATGATTCTCTTTATTATTTGTACTCTTGTTTTCGTCTAGTTCCTTGTAACAGGAGCTAGAGTTGTTAACTGTTTTTATTAATAAGCCGAAAAGCAAAACAAGTGAAAACCATACGATGTCTCTGATTCAAGTCTTGGGCTGTGAAGGCTTCCACGTTCCTGGTATCTGTAAAAAACGGAATTATCTTATGAGACTTCTAAATACAAAACTTGCAAACATACAACACAACAGAAGACAAACCTCAACACCATGAGGTCCGATTCTGTTACGTGATATGAAATTCACAACTAGATTCGCAAACTCCTCTGGTACATCTTCCTGCATTCATTTACACATCCCACCCAAATTCATTATCTCGAAAAATATATATTCACAATTAGTCAAGTCGCATTTGTTACCTGTATGGCATGTCCGGTGTGTTTGACCACAATCATCTGAAACTTTCCTTGCATTTGACCAATTGTGAGGGTCCTAGTCCAGTTTATCAACATCGTTACTACAATGCGCCATATATTTCAAATAGACGTGAGCCAGAGTTTTAGAGGGAGAACACGAACATACCGGTCCAATCTATCAGTTCCAGCTAATAGCAAGAGTTTTGGAACAGGAGATGACAAGAACTTCTCTGAGAGACCTTCGTACCTGCAAGGCAACTAATATTGTTCATAGACTCTCTTTCTTGTGGTTGGTTTCTGTGTTCCAACATCCGAAGCCTATTGTCTGTGTTGTACTTAGAGCTATGTGAACTCTATGATTTAAAACAAGAGGTAATGAGGTTCATACCAGCCTTTCCAGTATTGCTCTGTTTGCTCTAGATGTGTCCGGTAAGTGTAGCTGGAGAAAGGTTCACATTTCAACTCGCTAGAAGCAAATATGTGAATACCTCAAAATAGCAATGTTAGTAATAGAGATAACTCACCACTGTTTTGAATCATCGTATTTGAGAGTTGTGGGGATGGAGACACGAGCAGAATCAATGTTCCTTAATGACCCTCCTCTAATGCTGTACTCAATCTACAGAAAGATTGTGCAATTATGGCAAGAGTACAGCAAAATTATTTGTTGTTTGCAGCTTATAGATATATACATATTTTTGTATGTGCAACCATGCGTTTAAAGTTGCTTACTGCTTTTTGGATGCTGGGAAAATGTTGCATTCTGTTGGAAAGAATTTTCTGCATGTGAATCAAAGAGGCAACAGCAGTACCCTGCAATGAAAATACTTTGGTCAGTTCATCTCATGAGAGTGCATACCAAATGGAAAAAAAACAGATAAGACTTTTCTATAAGAAAGCAAACCTCAACAACATCCACAACGACAAGGCCAGCCAAGCTAGGCAGTGTTTTATTTGCAGCAACTTGCACAGCGACCGAACCTCCCATGCTGTAAACATGAAACCAATACATAAAAACTGGATTAGGATACTTTTATTCTACAAATTTGTGTATGCGTCCATCACTATCCACTACAACCCTCTAACGAAGAGAGCTATAAATGTTCCAGGCGGATGGAATGTTGTATCAAGTAGATCAAGAGCTACGAAAAACATTATCAATGGATAAGCATATATATACAGATAGAAACACACATGTACAACTATCTACCTAGAGTTTTATTAGCTGAAACAAGTGACTCTTGCACATCGAGGATAGTTTAACACTTGATTTATAAAAATATTGGTGCACACGCTACTGACCAGCCACCGAGTTCGAAGGCAACATACAGATATGCCAAATAAAATGGAAAAAGGAAAAAACCTGTGACCAACTAGCACAATAGCTGGAGGAGAGTCTCCATACAATTCCTTAATCACAGCCACAACATCATTGCTCATTGTCTGCATGTCCATCTTACTAAATTCAGTCTCACTTAACAGAAATCAGCAAATATATGATCGATTCGGAAAACTATACCTCGAGAGATAAGTCCAGTTCATTTTCTGAAACAGATTTACCATGTCCTCTCAAGTCCATTGCAACCACACGTGCTTTCTCCTTGATTTTACTTGCCACTATCGAAAACGAGAGCCTGGATAAAAACACAAATGAAAACTATTACATTGTGTGTGTGCCTGTCTATTTCAAAAGTGAAACATCAAACTCAAGAGCAACCAAGATTTCAATCTTTAATAGAAAATATAAACTGCAAGGCTCACCCAGAGAAGCCACCTCCATGGAGACAAAAGACAACAGGTCCTTCTGTTCCTGCCATATATACGTGAAATACCTATAATAGACACGTTTCGTCAGAAAACAGAGAAACCAAAAATAAAAATGAAAACGTTTTTTTGCTTCTGGAAACTTTGTTTAACGTTACATCGTTGGATCCAGGGATTGATATATCATCTTCTTTGTCAAAGTAGCTTGTCCATTCTACAGGCGAATATTTGTCCGAAGAACTCCTGTAAATGTAAAACAGCTCATTATCATGATCACTCAAGTCAAGATCACCAAAAATATAGAGATGCGATTGAAAGTAGAAAAAGCGACGGTGACTCACGTAGAAGGAGGACGAAGGGGACGAGTGGCGAACACGGACGCCGGAGCTGGTTCTTCGTCGGAAATATCCTCGCGAAGGGGATTCAAATTTGAAGAAGAAGAAGAATCCATCGCTGTAAACTTCAGTTTTGCGTAATTTCACAAGAGATCAAAATTGAACTGATCTCTCAGATCTTTCAGTTTCCGTTTTCACTCTACAATTCGCTTTTCTCCAATTTGTTTCGGTCACAGTTCAATAGGAAGGTGACACCTCGTTACAAGGAAATTGTTATGGGCCTATCAAGCACGGGCCCAATGCCAATTTTATACGTAAATGTGATTGTTTAATTTTTACATACAAATCTTATTATTTTTTTGTCAATTTCTAATGGCATAAAGCGTAAAACAGTTTAATAGATTTGATGTATTCTTTCTCAAACTTGGCCTAGCGAATCTCTAAACATTATTACGCAATTAAACACAACGCATCCCAAACTATCCTTTCTCTGTCTGTTTAGGAGGTGCTAACGTTGTGGACCATATCCTCTTTGCTTGTTTGGTCTCCTTCTGACTTTTCCCTTTCCTTATTTCTTCGCGAAGGAAGACAGACACATCCCAAAGCTTGAGCCTTTTCCTTTATTTCTTTCTCTCCACAAATGACCCATAACCCTAGAGAGAGGGATGATAGATTTCATCCTCGATTTTGAATACATCGCCGAAGGATTCTGTTGGTACTTTCTTCTTCTCTTTGACTTCTTCTCCGACCTCTTCATCGCCTTCTCTCTCTTCTTCTTTGCCCTAATCACAGACCTCTCCTCTTTCCTCTTCTGTCTCAATTTGATTTCTTAGATGGGTTTAATCAAGAACACAGTTCACTACTGTTGTGTCTCTAGAGACAATCAGATTCTCTACGCTTACAACGGAGGAGATCAAAGCAACGAGAGTCTCGCGGTTCTGTGTCTGGAAAAGACTCCTCCTTTTCACGCTTGGTACTTCGAATCCATAGGTAAGAGGAGGTTTGGGTTTTTAATTGGAGATGGGTTTGTGTATTTCGCCATTGTTGATGAGGTTTTAGGGAAACTTAGTGTTCTCAAGTTTCTTGAGCATCTGAGAGACGAGTTCAAGAAAGCTGCGAGGAAGAATTGTAGAGGAAGCTTCACTGCGGTGATTGGTTCCATCAATGTTGATGATCAGCTTGTTCCTGCTGTCTCCAAACTCATTGCTTCGCTTGAGCGTGTTGCTGCTGCTGAGGCTGCTAACAATGAGTTGAAGACTAGTAATAGTAATCTCGCTGAGCAAAGCGAAGCTACTAAAGCTCCGCTTTTGGGGAAGTCAAGCAAGCAAGAGAAGAAGAGAGGGAAAGATCATGTTGTCTCACTTAGAGGCATTGAGCTTGATGAACACAGGAACTCTAATGATAGAGCAGAAGCGTCATCTGCAGCAGAAACATCCTTGCAGAAGGAGCATGTGGCACCGAGAAGAAGAGGACGTTCTGGTTCCCAAAGCTTTGAATGGAAATGGCGGCGCCTAGTTCAGATTGTTCTTGCTATTGATGCTGCTATTTGCTTGACTCTGTTTGCTATATGGTTGGCTATTTGTCAGGGCATCAAGTGCACACGTTCATGATCGAAAAGTGTTTGTTCTTGTGCAGGCAAACACAACATATAAAGTCGAAGAATCGATTCTTTTAGAGTCTTGTTAAGTATTATTGTTGAATGCATGTGAGTACTATGGCTCAAATTCTACTATGGCTAATGTGAATGCTTTACTAGATGCTTTTGTACAGATATGTACAGTTGCAACTATGTTCTTTGTTCTGTGTTCTTCGTGCTTTCTCATGGTACTGTCCATTTTTATAGCTGTCTGCAAAATTGTGATGTGTCAACCTGTAACAGCTAGTTCACATCAAAATCGTGAATCTTAAGATATTAATAACTTCAATTGAGTATAGTATCATACGTATGTTTCATTCTGTTTTGGTATATCAGTATTCAGTACTTGAAGGATACGTTTGAAAAGTATGATCATCATTGCATTCAAAGGGTATATTGAGAGCATTTCTTCAACCCCAGAACACCCATGGAAAGTGCGTACGTATAAACTTACAGTGGATTAACGTCGAAGAGTCTACTGAGGTTTATTGTTTTCAAGAAACAAGGGAAGAAAACTAAGAGAGCGAGATAAGGTGCCAGTAGAATTGTTGAGAAACTCATCTGTGATCTGATCCTGAATCAAAAACCTCCAAGAATGTACACTGGTCATTACCTTCCCTAATTTCTCCCATAGTTCAAAGCTTGGTTTCACGCTTTTCCTGATGTTTGAAATCTATGTTCCAACTTTGAAGATAAGAGAGTTTGTACTTTGTAATAAGAGGAACCTTTTTCATGCTTATAGTCTCATTAGAGCAACATTAGTGGTGTAGTCTGTTCAATTAAGTATTGACTAGGTTAAGATCCGCGCCTTGCGCGGAGTGAAATTAATATTACAAATTAACAAAACAAAAGTGTTATCTTTGTTGTTAAACATGTGTTTATTCATATAGATTGTATAAATCCATAATAAGCTTTGGTAAATTTATGTAAACTTCATGATTCAACGTTTATTAATTGGGTTATGGGTTATAGTTTAACAGTCATGTTCAAATTAAAATTTTCCGTCTTAAACATTGGAACTGTTATGTACCAATTAGTGGATGGACCATAACCATATTATCTAGGCCCAAACCGTGTAGTCTATATGACGGTTTAGATTTAGCATTTTCCATATTTGTATTGGCTTTAACTTTTCATTTATCTCCCATGTAATTCCCTATATAAGGAATTCTATGTTATGAGTAATATACACACATATTCCTCCATTCTCTCATTAGTTTACAACACATTATCAGCACGAGTTGTTCTCTAACCCTAAGATAAAACCCGATTAGAAAAAAAAAACCCTAGCTCTCGCTGGCGATCACCCATTAGCCTTCATCGGCTCTTTCCTTTTTGCTCGCGGAAGCCCTAGCCGGATTTCCTTTTCTCGGCGAGAAACTCTAGCTCGTGATCCGACCAGCTGCCTTGGTTCTTTCCTTTTTTCCCGGTGGAAACCTAGCTCGCGCAGAATCCTAATCCGCGATCCTCCTTCTCAAATTTAATCCGACCAAGAACTCTTCGAAGATCTTAGTTCCAGACCCCGATAAATCAAACCCGACCATGAGAAGCTCCTAGCTCGCGATCCGATAGGTCCGACTCGTTCCAACTCAGCTCACGGTTCTCCTTCTCTCTCTAGGTGGTCTGGTTCAACCCTACAAACTAAAGGTATAATCGATGAAACTCTAAAACCTAATGATCAAACCCTAAAACCCTAAAGTCATTCTAATGGCATCTGATCATCTTGTTAAACCCTAAACATCTATCCCCTATAACTTTAACATCAAACCGAATGTATGTGTATGCATACTATGCAAGAATTCGATTCCCTATAACTTATTTTGGTTGATTTATTGTTTGGTTGATCTAAGAACCCTAAACTCTAGTTTTGGAATCGAAAACCCTAAACCCTAATTATGTATCCGTTTGTGATTGTTGTTTTGTTTGAATAAATTATTTGATGATTTGAGGTTTAGGTTGATAGATTGTGTGTTTAAACCTAATTTCGAATTGAAACCCTAAAGGCCTTGAAATCTTTAATCTCATATTGATAAAACCGTTTGCTAATTGTCTAAATTGTTTTGAGGTTTTAAGAATCATTAGCTAAGATTGCTTAATTGTCATGTTTGAAACCCTAATCTGAAACCCTAAAGTTCTATACGCATATTGCTAAGTTGTTAATCCTAAATTTCGTTTTGAATTCCTAAACCCAAAAACACATATGATTGATCCGATTTGAGTTTAGGGTTGATTCATGTTATTTTGATTGATCTAATTGTTGTCTTGAAAGATAGAATTGCTAGATTATTATTTCTGAACCTGAAACCCTATATATGGGTTGAAACCCTAAATCTAGGCCGAAACTCTAAAACCTCAAATTTGCATATTGTCTTGATTAATGGTATTGATTGATTGCCTTGAGAGTTAGGTTGATAGATTGATTGATCCATATGATATATCTTGAATCCTAAAACCCTAATCTCGAAATTGAATCCCCTAAAGGTTGAAACCCTAAATCTGCGAATTGAACTTGTTTTGAGGTTTAGAAATTGTTTGCATATCTGATTGATTGATCTTATTGCATGAGAGTTGGGTTGCTAGATTACTTGATTCACATACTCTGAAACCCTAAAATTGGTAAACCCTAAATCCACATAATAGTAATCGATCATTGATATTTGTTTGCATCATATAAGCATGGCCGTGTGGTCTCAGTACATTACCACCTTGACCACATATAGATTTTGATTGCTAGAGTTCTTGCATTATGATTAGATGGCTGTGTGGCCTTGATTGTGTAATCTCACCATGACCGTGTGGTCTAATTACTATATTCATGTCTTGAATCTGATTGAGTGTCTTGATATGGCCACATGTACTATAAAACTCTAAATTGATTGATATATGATTTCAGATATCAAAAATTTGCAATCTAGATTTCTGTCTTTAATTGCTCTTGTTGATACACGGTTTAGAAGATAAGTAGAGTGTCTAATTGCCTCACAATAGAGAATTTGGAACAGACATATGCTTCATAATACTCCTGGCCATCTCCATCATAGTTCTATTACGTCTTTCAACCACTCCATTTTGTTGGGGATGTGTATGGGGCTGTGAGATATCTCTTGATGCCTTATTTGTCACAATAAGAGTTAAATTCATAAGACACAAACTCTCCTCCCCTATCTGATCTGAATCCTGTTATACGTGTCTCTGCTTCTTTTTCTACCAAGCTTTTGAAGTTTTTAAACTTACTAAACGTTTCTCCCTTTTCCTTTAGCAATGATGTCCACATATATCTTGAGTGATCATCAATAAGAACTAGAACATACATGTTTCCAGCACTTGTGCTTAGGGTTATAGGTCCACACAGATCACCATGAATCAGTTCCAATACTTCAGTAGCTCGGTATAAAGTTGATTGTGAAAACGGTTTCCTTGTATGCTTGCCCATCAAGCATGATCCACACACCTTCTTCTCTATCTCCATCTGTGGGACTCCAGTAACAAGCTCTTGTTGTATCATAGACTTCATTGTATCAAGATTTATATGCCCAACCTTGCATGCCACCTACTCGAGTCACTTGTTGTTGTAGATAACAGAGATTTATCATCTCTTACCCTCATATGCACCTTGTATAATCGATTCTTTGATCTCAATGCTTTGGCGATAAGCTTTCCATCTTTGTCATGCATTATGAGATAATATCCTTTCATCCTTATATCACACCCTGATTCAGTTGCTTGACCGAGGCTAATGATGTTACTTCTCAGGTTTGGTATGAAGTAAGCGCCTGTGATCTTCCTAGCTTCTCCGTTTCTGTCCATGAACTCTATTGATCCCTTACCTTTAATATCAATGCAAGAATCATCTCCAAGACGCACTTTCCCAGTGACAGAATCATCAATGGATGAGAAGTATCCTTGATCTCCGGTCATATGATTGCTGGCCCCATTGTCAAGGTACCAGATATCATCTTCTCCAACCTTTACTTCATAGTTATTTGGCATGATTTTCCTTTTGTTCAAGTAAACTACATCATGAATCATCAGTTCATCTGCCTCCTTCGTTTCATTATTCTCATTCTCTTGGGTTTCTTGAAGTTTAAGCAACCGATCAGGACAGTTGTATGCTACATGTCCGGTTTTGTCACACCTAAAAAAAGTAAGGTTTGATGTATCTCTTGCTCCATTGAACCGACCACGACCTCGTTCTCTGTTATAGTAGTGTCCTCCACGGCCTCTACCTCTGTAGTTGTTATTGAAATCACGTGTCTGTTGCATCTGGTGTGCATACATTAACTTTCCTTGATCCTCTTGAGTTTCTTCCTCATCACGCACACGATCTTCATAAGCCTTTAACCTTCTTATGATATCCTCAAAGCTTGTGGTCTTGAGGTCTAAGACTTGTTCCAATGTGGCTACGATATGGATGCACTTTTTGCGAGGAAGACACTTGAGAAATTTCTTAACCAACTTTGATTCTTCGATTTCTTCTCCTAAGGAAACTGATTTTGATGATATCTCAGATATTCTTCCAGCGAAACCATTTATTGACTCTGTCTCTTTCATTCTAAGACGATCAAAATAAGTCATTAAAATCTGCAAGCGAGCTTCTTTAACCTGTTCTGCAGCAACATGTCTCGTCCTTATCGCCTCCCATATCTTCTTTGCAGTACCTAAATCTCCAACCTGAAGTAGTAGTGTCTCAGGAATCGATTGGAAAAGAAGAGCCATAGCCATGGTATTATTGCCTTGGTCCTCTGTTTCACCGTTCTCTTCCTCTATTTTCACAGCTTCCCACACCTTGTGTACCTTAAATATAATCTTCATTCTCATGGTCCATACGGTGTAGTTTTTATTGGTGAGGATGATCCTCCCTCCGTTTTGATTTGACTACCACAATATCTTCCATAGCTCTGATATCAAATATTGTTATCAAAACTTAAAAACAAAAGTTATAAGAATATATCTCTTCTTATTGATTAAGAAAACTTACTCAAAAAATTAAACTCTCACAATCACAAATCTCTGTCTCTCAAATCTCAATGTCACACACGACATGTTTTTATATAAGAATGCATAAACCTGATCCTATTGGGAAAACACTTAATAGATAACTACTCAAATAGTTTATGTTTATCCCTTTATTATCTCAACTCAACTAGGATTAGGATTGATTCTAGCTCAAGCTTATCCCAACAAAAACACCCTTAACCCATGTCATATATAACTCATAAGCCAGCACTGATTATAATCGAACTGGAATTAAACCCAAAATTTTTAACAGGTCTGATTCTCTGTTTTTCTGAACTGAATCCATGATCAAACAGAAACTTGACCTAAATTATATCTCTATTTCCCGGACTTATGTGATCACACATTTATTGAATGCTGCACAGTTGCATCTCCTTTAAGTAGCTTTTGAACGTTTGCTCTCGCATCAGAAAAGATACTGTAAATACCATGGATCAACCTACTATCAGCCCATTTCAAAGACGAATAGAAAGCCCATACTTGATTTTTAGTAGATCGAGACACTAAAAAGAAAAAAAGAAACAACGTGAGAAGATATCTATCTCCCATCGTCTCCTCCAACAACACCGATTCACCAGTTACCAGTAAACCACATAAACTAAAAAAAAAAAAGCTTTCGTCATTGCTTGTAATGTTCTCAAGCGGTAACGTCACGTCTAGGGTTTTCGAACGTCAGATTCGCTCATCTCCTCCCGGCGCTTCCGTCTGTCAAAAACCCCCCTATCTCTCTCTATCTCTCTCACTCTAAGTAAAATCTCACTTTCTCTCTTTAATCTCTCCAGGTGAATCGAGCTAGAAAATTCTACGAGAACCTAGTCCCAAGCCACACACTCTACGATGTCGAGTGTCCCGATCACTGCTTCCGCAAATTCACCGAAGACGGACTCTTCCTCATCAGCTTCAGCCGTAACCACCAAGAACTCATCGTCTACCGTCCCTCGTGGCTCACCTACACCTCCGATTCCGACGACACGCTCCCTCCCCTCCCCCGCCGCGCTCCCCGTTTCGACAGCTTCTTCACTCACCTCTACTCCGTCAACCTCGCCTCCGCCAACGAGCTCATCTGCAAAGACTTCTTCCTCTACTTCCCCTCTCGTCGATTCGGCCTCTTCGCTACCTCCACCGCTCAGATCCACGACTCCGCTCCCTCTCCCGGCGCCGTCCCTGGAGTTCCTTCCATTGATAAGATCACTTTCGTGTTGCTTCGGTTGGACGATGGTGTGGTCTTGGATGAGAGGGTGTTTCTTCATGATTTCGTTAATTTGGCTTATAACATGGGTGTTTTTATGTACGATGATCTTCTAGCGATTCTTTCGTTGAGGTATCAGAAGATTCATCTGCTTCAGATTAGGGATTCGGGGCATCTCGTTGATGCTCGCGCCATTGGCTACTTTTGTCGTGAAGACGATGAGCTTTTCCTCAATTCTAGTTCTCAGGTGAGCAGAAAAAAGTTAGTTACAGTCTCCTTTCTCAGTTAAAGAAGTTGAGATTGTTTTGATGTTAGGCGATGATGACGAGTCAAGATAAGAACAAGCAGCAGAACAGGGAAGATGATGCGGCAACCATTAGCCAACCAGATGCTGAGAATTCGTTTCTTAGTGGCATCAAGCAACGGCTACTTTCCTTTATCTTTAGAGAGATTTGGAATGAAGAATCCGATAACACAATGGTTTGTTGTTCTTGAGATGATCTTTTGTTCTGAATTGTTCAATAAAATTATACATCTTCAACGAATAGAGTTTGTGTCTCTGTTACTTCTTCCTCTCGCTGCCATCGACTGTCTTACTTTGGTAGACTAGATAACAGAGATTTAAGGTTTTTAGGGAGTTAGTTGATGTATTTATAATCGTTGCGTTATCTGTCTTGGATTGAACTGATCAAAGAGAAACGTTGTGATTTGGCAGAGAGTTCAAAATCTGAAGAAGAAGTTCTATTTCCATTTCCAGGATTATGTAGATTTGATTATCTGGAAGGTAATTACATGTCCATGCTACGTACTGGAGTATTGTTCAAGTGTTTAGCAGTTGATACAGGGAAAAAGTCTAACTTTGTGGCTATTCTTGATGCTCAGGTTCAGTTCTTGGATCGACATCACCTCTTGATCAAATTTGGCAGTGTAGATGGTGGGGTGAGCTCTCTATAATACAGATTTTAGATTGAATAGAACTGCTTTTGACCATGTGTAGAGTTGACAATTGGACTGAATAGATTTGTGATGTTGATGGATAATCTCAGGTAGGAAGAAATGCTGATCACCTTCCAGCTTTCTTCGCGGTGTATAATATGGAAACAACTGATATTGTAGCATTCTATCAGGTTAATGGATGTGAATTTTTGGCGAGTTAATTAGTGGAAGTTCACACTTACTTAGAACTTGACTTACTTTTGCAGAACTCAGCAGAAGATCTTTACCAGCTATTTGAGCAGTTCAGTGATCACTTTACAGTTTCAAGTAGTTCACCTTTCATGAACTTTGTAACATCGCATTCTAACAGCGTCCATGCTCTTGAACAACTAAAGTACTTGAAGAACAAATCAAACAGTTTTTCTCAGGTTAGTACAGTTTTTGTATCATCTTCGTTAGTAAATAATTCATTGTTATATCTAATCAATTTTTTACACAGTTTGTGAAGAAGATGTTAGTCTCATTGCCTTTCAGTTGTCAGTCACAGAGTCCTTCCCCATATTTCGACCAGTCTCTCTTCCGGTTCGATGAAAAGGTAAACCAGATAAACCCTTGATTCTCTTAATCAGGATTGAATCGTAGCCGGTTTAACTTTATTTCGGATTTGGTTATAGTTAATTTCCGCAGCAGATAGGCATAGGCAATCGTCAGACAACCCAATCAAGTTTATATCTCGAAGGAAACCGGAAACGTTGAAATTCAAGATAAAACCAGGTTTGTTACAGTTAGTTTCAAGATATTGAGATAACCTTAACCGAACCAAACACAAACATAATCTTAACTATCGTCTCTGGAATGGGACAGGGCCAGAGTGTGGAAGTGCAGATGGCCGGAGCAAGAAGATATGTTCATTCCTCTTCCATCCACATTTACCACTTGCCATCTCTATTCAACAAACACTTTTCATGCCTCCTTCTGTCGTCAATATCCATTTTCGGCGATGACACTCTTTTTGTTTCCATTATGTTGTGTAATCTATTGTTTGTAAAAGAAAAAGCAAAATCTAAAAACACATGTATCTAATCAAAAAAAAGAAAGAAACAAATATGCATTTTAAGATATGTTGTGATTCTCTACGGACTTAATATGACAGCAGGATTCTTGTCTGTCACCTACGTTTCCGGCATCTGATTTTTTTTATTACCTTCAGCCATAATGTCTTCAGCTTTCTGTTATACTTCACACTGTATCTTCATTAATACTGCAAATTGCCTAAAGATAACATGTTTCTTGATATTAATAAGAAGTAAGCCAATGACTGAACCAAAGACAAGTGGAATAAGAAAAACAAACTTGAATAGGTTCACATGCTGAGGTTAGACCAACTTTGTGAGTGGCATTTAAATCAGTAATGCTCAGCTACCAAAACCTTCATGACAAGTTTTTTCGGAAATTTGTGTACTACTTGCTTCCTTTTGACACATAAACTGACAAACAAAACAACCAGTTTCTCTTAATACACGTACGTACCATGTCAACTTGGCAAGCCACAAATAATAAGAGGACCAGTGGACCACGTTATACAAAACAGGTATTTGGGGATACCAGTTAGTAGCCATAGGAAATGACATGAAGTGTAATATATCAGAAGCTCATGTCACATTGACACTCTCCCTATTCCATTTGCATGCAGCAGACATCATCAACATTTTTCATACCGGGATTTATCATAAACAGTAATAGTAATGGGCCAAGAAAATAGGCCTGCGTAGAAACAATTATCACGGGCCACTCCAATTTTCTCTGGGCTAACCGTAGTTGTACATGAAGTGTCTGGAACATGGGAGAAGAGCCTCAAAGAACCAACTAACACATCCAACGTGTAATAACATAATACGTGATAAAGTCCGTAGCCAAAAAGCTAGAACAATCCAAATAGCTCTACAAATGTACCAACAGATCTTTCAAGAACCTGCTTCACTCTTCATAGAATGTGTATATATACATACACCAGAGAACTGAGTATCACCATCATAGAGAACAACAAGCAAGTAATCTTAAGTGAACATAAAAGAAATTAAAGCATACCAGTTTGGTTTCCACCTTCGACAAGACACAAAACCATGATGAAGCAGTTGCCTTACTTTACTCTGTTAAGCCTCTTCGTAGGAGCTCTGATACTTGGAAACATCAAACCAAGTGAAGGGTCTCTATCTTCTGCAATCGACACTCCAGGAAGCTTACTATCCGATCTCTGGCTAGACCGTTTCCCTGATCCGTTCAAGATCTTGGAGAGACTCCCACTAGAACTCGAGAGGGACCAGAGCGTGGCTCTGTCTCCAGCGAGAGTGGACTGGAAAGAAACAGCAGAAGGACACGCGATAATGCTGGATGTGCCCGGTCTGAAGAAGGATGAAGTGAAGATAGAGGTGGAGGAGAATCGAGTCCTCTCAGTCAGTGGAGAGAGGAAAAGAGATGAAGAGAAGAAAGGAGATCAGTGGCATAGAGTTGAGAGATCATATGGAAAGTTCTGGAGACAGTTCAAGCTACCTGATAATGTGGATATGGAATCTGTCAAGGCCAAGCTTGAGAATGGTGTGCTCACTATTACCCTCACAAAGCTGGCTCCTGAAAAGGTCAAGGGTCCAAGAGTTGTTGACATTGCAGCCGAAGAAGACCAAACTGCGAAGATCAGCTCCTCTGAAGCCAAAGAGCTGTGATTGAATAATTTATCTATCTTTCTACCTTTGAGTGTGAAGAATTCCACAAATCCAATAACTTGAGTTGTTTCATATCGTGTGAGATAAATGAGCTGGTGATCTTGTAACATATAAACCAAAAGCTGTGTAAGCTCGTTTTATATATGCAATAAAATATCAAAGGTTTTTTATTTGACACCAACCCTCCAAACCTTTTAGAAAATGAGCACAGTGATCTAACATCAATAGCGTGTTAAAAATACAAAGCGTTAGATCCATGTTTACATTAAAACTTAAGCTTCAGATTCAAAAACCTGAACCATAACCTAGAAGAGATTTGTTTCTTATATCTAAATCATTCATTAGTGGAATCATTTCAGGCAGGGAATTTAACGCTCGATTATTCCGATAACCGACAAAAACAAAAAACAGACCTGAGTCAATTCAAAAGTGAAAAGAAACATAAGACCATGAGTATTACTTGAGAAAGAACAAAAAGAAAAACTATTTAGACTTGGATTTCATGAGCTGCTGAGCATCAGATGGAGTTGGAAGTGCTGGAATGGCTCCTTTCTGAGTTGTACACACAGCTCCACATGCATTTGCAAATGCAAGAGCCTCCTTTAGCTTTCCTTCATCCTGCAACATTCATTACATAAACACCAAAACTCAATGCATATGCCTAATCTAAGACCTGAAATGTCTGAGGTAGTACTTACATCGATTATGGAGCCATCTTTTCCTAGTGAGACAAGAAATGCACCAACAAAACAATCACCAGCTCCAGTTGTATCAACTGTTTTCACAGAGTAACCAGGCACTCTCCCTTTGAATTTCTGCATTATGAAAACCAAAAAAAACTCTGTCTAGATCACTCCAATAAAAAGACATCATCATGTCTCATTTGATTCCTTTTCTTATTTTGTTACCTTTGTGTAGTATCTGCAACCTTTCTCTCCATCAGTTACAATAAGCAATTTGAGTTTTTCATGCATTAGAGACAAAACAACCTCATCCTTCTCTGCATCTCCCCTAGTGAGGAGTGTTACCTCGTCATCGCTTACCTACACACGTGATTATTCGATACTAAGATCATTTCGAACAAGAATTATCATGAACACACAGACACAAGGTACCTTGATAATATCAGCCTCATTCCAGATGCTTTTGATGCCTTCTATGGCAGCCTCAGTAGAAGGCCAAAGAGGCAACCTAACATTAGGGTCGTATGAGAGTAGAACTCCTGCGTCCTTGGCGGTTTTCATAGCAGCCATGTGAGCCGCTCTACATGGCTCAGAGATCAAGCTAATGGAACCGTAGTGGAAAATCTTGGCTTTCTTGATGAGATCCTTGTTGAGTTCAGATTCTTTCAAAAGCATATCCGCACTAGGGTTCCTGTAAAACATGAACTCTCTCTCGCCGTTCTTCTTTAGTGTCACAAAGGCTAAAGCAGTCCTTGCATGCGTATCGAAGCAAACTCCTTCGATGTTCACACCGTTCTTCTTTAATATGTTCACAAGCATGTGTCCAAACTCATCATCACCAAACTGAAAAAAAGATTAGATCAGACGAACAAATATTATTCTGAAAACAAATATAAGAAAATATACAAACCTTGCCGATGAAACCTGATTTGCCACCGAGCTTGGAGATGGCACAGGCAACATTAGCCGGAGCACCACCAGGGGCTTTGAGAAAACCGGTGGACTCAGCCAAGGAAACACCAGAAGTGTCAGGGACAAAGTCGATTAGCATTTCGCCAAAGGAAACAATCAGTGGAGTAGCCATCTTTTTGTGAAATGTTTAAACACACAAAAACAAAAGAAACCTCTCTTTAGTAAGCTGAAAAATGTGCAACAGAAGGCATGTAAGGTGGGGATATGGATTATTAACTAAGTCCCTAAAATGCAGTTAAACTCAGTCCATGCTTTGACTGTTAAAAATAATACCTTGATTGTTTTACTGAGTGACGGGGAGGATGCGTAAGCTCAAACATCTACAAATTATAAATCTATATACAAAACAATGCCTTTTTTTTTTTTTTTTTGTTGTCGAAAACAAATGATAAAAAAACGACTGCGTTTTGAGAGGCGATTTCTGAGGCGATTATTTTAGCGATAACAGACGACGAGTTTCGAGTGATGGATCTGGCGATTCCGCCGGATTTTTCAGGTTCGTTGGAGGTTGGTAAGGATAACAAGGAGGTTCTCGAAGGGATGATTACAAAGGGTGATTCAGATTTGATCGGAGATTCGGTAAAGAAGGGTTCGAGCTGGGTTTCTGTTGCGGAGGATAAGAAGAAACTAAAGAAGTATGAGGTTGAAGTATTGAATAAAGAAGGTGTGCATACGGTTGAGATTCCAGAGAAGATCCTTGACAACGTTACTCCTCTGTGGGAAGATTTTGTTGTGGGTAAGTTCTTGGATCTTTCACCTCATGTTGCGAAGGTCCATATGGTGTTGAATAAAATTTGGAAATATGGGGATGTAGCTACGAAGGTGGATGTGTATGTGGTGAATCCAACCACGATGAGATTCAGGATATCGAATCCAAAGGCTAGAGAAGATCCTTCGGCGTGGTATGTGGAATATAGCTGGGGTTCCAATGTTGGTGGCGAAATGGACTCCTAGTATAGAGGATGAAGAACAGGAAGATGATGCGATTCCCATGGTGGTTCATCTGGAGAAGGTTCCGCTCCATATGTATTCCTGGGAGGATCTCAACTTTATCACCAGCGCGGTAGGTTTTCCAGTCAAGCTACATCCTGACACTATTGCTTTTACTAATCTCAAGGAAGCCAAAGTGTTTGTAAATGTTGATGTTTCGAAGGTGTTGCCTAAGGAAATCACATTTTCAAAAGGGGGAAAGAGCTTTACCGTGGATTTCTACTATCCTTGGCTTCCACCAAGGTGTAAGCTCTGTGATAAATGGGTCATGGTGAAGAGTTGTGCAAAGGGAAGAGTAAAAAGCAGGATGGTATCTCTCTTTCACCGGTGATGAAGCAAGCTGAAGAGAGCCCGGCTAGGAGGTTGGAGGGGAAGAGTAATAGTCAAGGTGAAAGTAGTGGTGGTGGTACGGTAATAGTGGTGCAAAAGGATGGTAATGTGTCTCCAAGTACCAAAGATGTGGGTTCTGGTAGTCAAGAGGATAAGAAGGAGAATGTATGGTCTCGTCCAGTCAAGTCTGGAAGATCTCCTGTTACTATTATGCAGGAAAGTGGAGTGGAAATATCTAAGTCCAAATTTGCTGTCCTTAGTGTGGTTGAGGGGGAGGAAGGTGAGGTTCTAGAAGAGGTTTCGAAAAGTTTAGTGTTTGAGGATAGTGGAGTTAATGAAGAGGAGGAGGAGGAAATGTACATGATGATTTAATGGATAATAATAGTTTGTACCAGCAAGTAGAAGAGGAAGTTAAAGCGGGAAAAAGAGGTCGTAGGGCTAAAGCTCCGGATGTGAATCCAGGGAAAAGCACTAGGCCTTCTCGTCGTAAACATTAACTATGTCAAGTTTCTTCTGGAATGTGCGTGGGTTCAATAAAGGTGTTAAGCATTCCGTTGTAGAAGAATGGGTAAGGAGTAAAGATATGTTATTTGGCAGTATTTTTGAAACTAGAGTTAAAGAAAGGAAGGTGAGTAATATTCTTAACAAGGTGTTCAGGGATTGTTCTGCTATTATGAATTATGAGTATAGTGATGGTGGTAGAATCTGGTTGGTGTGGAGGGGTGAGATTTGTATGACTCCGGTCTATAAATCTGCTCAACTAATAACTTGCTCAGTTAGTATGAAGGGGCAAGAGGATTTTTTCTATACTTGTGTTTATGCTAAGAATCTGCCAGAGGAAAGGAAGGATTTATGGAATGATCTTTGTTACCATAAAAATTCCTCTATGTTTCGTAACAAGGCGTGGATTGTTGTGGGGGATTTTAACGAAATTCTGGATGTGGAGGAGAGTTCTTGTTTTGTTGATCGTAATTGTATTCCAAGAGGTATGAGAGATTTTCAAGAAACGATGCTTCATTGTAATCTCTCTGATTTTGGGTACCAAGGTCCCTTGTTCACTTGGTGCAATAAAAGGGAAGATGGTCTTATCTGTAAGAAGCTTGATAGGGTGTTAGTTAATGATGAAGCTTCTTTGAGATTTTCGAATGGCTATTCTGTGTTTGAAGCTGGTGGTTGCTCGGATCATATGCGGTGTAACATTCATTTGTTTCCAGTATCTGAGAAAGTTAGAAGGCCTTTCAAGTTTATTAATGCTCTTGGGAAACTGGAGGGCTTTCTCCCATTAGTGCAGAAATATTGGGATTCTACTCCAGCTCTCTTCCACTCCACCTCTGCCTTGTTCCGGTTCTCAAAAAAAATTGAAGTTTTTGAAGCCGTTGTTAAGAGAGTTGGGTAGAGAGAAGTTGGGTAACCTCTCGAAGAAAACAAAAGAAGCTTTTGATATGTTATGTGAGAAGCAGAAACATACACTATCTAACCCTAGTGATCAGTCCATTCATGAAGAGTCTGAGGCGTATTCGAGATGGATTTATATTGCTGGTTTGGAGGAGGATTTTCTTAAGCAAAGAGCTAAGCTGCATTGGTTAAAGGTGGGAGATCTGAACAATAAGACATTCCATAATGCTATACGATCCAGACAAGCTCATAACAGTATTCGTGATGGAATCACTGTTACGAAGCAGTCTGATATTAAAGAGGAAGCTGTGAAGTTCTTTTCGGAGTTTCTAAATCAGACCCCTGCGAACTATACTGGTACAACCACTGCTGAGCTCCAACAATTACTTAACTTCAGATGCTCTATAGATGATTGTAAGATGCTTGAGGAAACTGTTACTGAGGAAAAGGTTGGTAGGACTCTCTTTGCAATGCCCTCAAATAAATCACCAGGCCTTGATGGGTTCCCGTGTGAGTTCTTCAAAATCTCGTGGCCAATATTAGCTTCAGATTTTACAGTGGCTATCCAATCTGTTTTTCAGTATGGGTTTCTTCCAAAGGGGGTTAATGCGACTATCTTAGCCCTTGTTC